ACTTGGTGGGAAGGTGCTGGCCGATACGCAAATTGAACATTGAATAGAGAGGATTTGTGGATCACTATTTCTGCATTCGGCCAGCTGCGTGTATGAAATAATGACTGCAAAAAAGATCACGCCAGTGCACTCTGGATTTCAAATACAGTGTTCTCTTTGCATAAATTTATTCGCTGAAAAAGTGTGCTGTGTGGAGCATGTTTGTCTGTTAGATATGTTTGAATCACATCACTACCGGGAGGGAAGAAGCTTAGTGTCTCAATCTTTTGATTTCAGCAGCGAAACTACTTTTTCTTTTCAAAAATTTGCATTTATAAATGTATTTAATATTCGCTTCACATTTTAATTTATCGATTTCTGAGTTTAATACTGACGAGTTTTGCACATTTTTAAACCATATTTCTTTATTTTTTATGTCTCATTACTAAACGTAAAGAGCGCTCTACTCGGCAAGCCAAATCCACCGACCCTGAGACTGAAACTGAGAAATTTTTGACCGTTCACAATGCGAAGGAGATGAAAGCAAATCTTCAAGTTTTTCACCAGCTTTCTTGTATATCAGCAGCTAAGACCAGCAGTACCAGTAGCGGTCCCGGAAAATTTAACTCGTTTTGCGCGCTAAATCAACTGTTAAGGTTTTGTAGCTTGACTCATATTGAGCATCGCATTATAAATTAGGAAACAGAGTTACGGACAGAGTTGAGGGTTCATTATCTTTATGTGAATTTGCACAATCTTCGCTTTCTGTTTTAGTTTAAAAATTTTGGCTTGAAATTCTAATTCAAATTTTTGCCATATGGTCACTGTTTCGAAAACAGCGTTATCCAGCACATTTTTTGTGGCGTGTGATGTTGAATTGCTTGTAACCATTGCCCGGACAGCTCTCACTTTTCAATTTCCATACCGTTTTCATCTTATCAGTATTCACAGGCAGAACAAGAAGTTTTTGTTGATGAGAGCGAAAGCTGGTGCCTTTTTTGGAAACAAGCATATCTTTTATTTTAAGCAAAATGAGACTTTAAAATGCAGGAATTCCGAACGGAATCTGGCTTGGACGGCGTACTTGGCAGCCGGTACTGCACGGGAAAAGCATTTGCAGCAATCTTCTATTTTGCATTTTTCGGTTTTATCTTAACGCGATCCTATGTAAACGCTATGATGTAACTCTATGTCCAGTATACTTGCGCCAGAGTCGGTCACTTCAATGTACACAACAATAGAAGGTGAGAAGCACGTAAGACACAAGCACCATCATTAAACACCTAGTACTGCTGCGGTGGACCAAACGACATTGGATCTCCATCTGCTCCAAATGATCCATACGATGATGGTGGACCGAACGACGATGGTGGCCCAGGCATAAATCCCTTTCCTGGTGGCGATGGCCCAAATGGTGGTGATGGTCCCCCAGGCGGCCCTCCAGGTGGCCCAAAAGATGGTGGTGGGCCGAAGGATCCAGGTGGACCAGGAGGATATCCTTTTCCAGGTAGTGGAGGCCCAGGTGGGTACTGTGGAAACCACTTCGGTGGAGGAGGTTTGAAAAATGGAGGTCGTAAAGGTGGGTACCACGGCGGCGGAAAATAAGGGGGAGGCCCGAAAGATGGTGGCGGTGGTGGAGGTGGAAAAGGAGGGGGTGGTGGGGGTGGGAAAGGAGGTGGCGGTGGAGGTGGAAAAGGGGGCGGTGGTGGGAGAGGACCTGGTGGTAGTGGTGGTGGTGGTGGTGGGAAGGGTACTGGGGGTGGCGGAGGAAACCATGGTGGAGGGAACGGAGGTTTGAATGGAAAGGGGGGAGGGGGAAAGAACGGCGGTGGTGGCGGTGGTATAGGAGTCAGCCACCAAAATGAAGGAATTGGAGGCACCGGTCCAAAAAGCCTGAACTTCGCGCTGTCTGATGGTTGCCCAGAAGCACTGCCTGGAAATCATTTAACATTGTTGGCACTGAAAATGTAGAACCAATTTGCCAATGTGCATTGGTTGCTAGTCAGTTACATGCGGAATCAGGTGTGCCCGATCGCGCGGAACTTCCTGATACGTGTTAATGAGTGGTACCGCAGAAGAAAATTATCTGCTTGGGCAGTTGTTGGCGGATTGATACAACCGCGGAGTGAGGGACATTGCGAAGGCAGACACAACCAATATTAATGAATGCGTGTCAAAGTTGCATTCTTCCCGAAAAACGTGTCCACTAACGAAGATGACGGAGCAAAACTGTGACACACTGGCATAAGTGAAGTTATGAGGGAGGGGAGCGAGCTACGATTTCATCAACAGCTTCTAAGTAGACGAATGCAGCATTTCCCAAGCTGAGGTTGGGCAGTACAGGCCACCAATATCAGCTTGACTTGCATGCATGAATCATGAAAAGGACATGCAATATATAGAACTGAAGCGTGGTTTCTGCATGCTACTTCGGATTTGAAAATCGCACTGAAGATCCAGATGCAACCTAGGCCGGAACGTACCAGACTTGTCGGTTCGAACATACGTTTTTGCACTAAATTTACAGATCGCTAACAGCAGGAACGGTCCCTACGTTGTAGTTTAACACTTGGACTCATATTGTAGGTGTTTCGACCTTTTCCCGCATGCAGAGGAGAATGAAGTCGGCTGAGATGAAGGTGCTGCATTATAGAGCTGCATGGACTTCCAGCTTACATGATTACCAGTGAGTGAGAATCACCAGAAAAACGACTGAAGCCCAGTCGTTTTTCTGGTGATTCTCGCTCACTGAAAAAAAAAAAAAACGCAAATTTGAAGGAAGTCGGAAGAGAATTATGAAATCTGCAAAATGCACTCGCCTTTGAGTTGGCGATAAAATTGAGTATTTATCATATTTACCTGCACGGAATTTCACCTCCAAGCTGAATTAAGATCGCACATGAAAGTGGAATATCCCAGCGAAGTTTCTGCCTCGCACCTTATCCGATAAGCGAAATAGCCACCTCGCTACAAATATCTTTGAAGTGTTCTAAGTCGTGGCGCAAGTGCAAATCGGAACTCAATTTAGGTATAAGACTTTCCATATGGACGATAAATATTCCGACAAAATTTAACTACTGTTTTCCGGCTAGTTTTCAAGTGCGAACTTTGACATGACCGTACGCGCTGCACAAGCGTGCGTGGTGACTGAATTTGAAATGTTTACTTCGTACAAGCACATAGAATATCCCTGCAGAATTTCAACTTTCTGTCTTGTCTGGTCTCCACAACTGTTTCCCGCCGAAAAAATTTGCATATTTTTTCGGATTGAGGGGGAGGGGAGAGAAGGGAAAAAGGGCGGAGAGCTCGCACACGACATCTAGGCGCTAATGAGCGATGACTTTAAAACGGGAGAGTGACACATAGGGTGAGAATATGTCCTCAGAATTTCAGCCTCCCAGCTTTCCTGGTTGCTGAGTTGAAAGTGGATGACAAAGTTCACTCGCTTCTGAATACACACACACACACACACACTCATGGACACAGTGCTGTTACAGCAAAAACACATAAAAACTAACTTTAATTATAGTTGAGCGAAAATTAAATGAAAAAGTTCTACTTCCTTCAACACCTTACGAGAAAAGGTGATTTCTCGCCGGATAGATACAAAAGTCCAGGCACAGAGTGAAGATTGGTGGAAGCATTTCGACCCGAATGAGGAGAAAGCAGTGCGGATAACTGAATCAGTCAAAAAAAGAAAAAGGAAAAATTAGTTAGGCAGTGCTTAAAAATTCCTAAAAGCTGGAGACGAGTAAAGTGCAGGGATGCCGAATTTGACACAAAGGCTAAAAAAGCTGGATAAAAATAAAAAGAAATGGATGTTATTTTTTGAGAACGCCAAATGTTGTGTGTATGTGCGTGTTTGTCTTGCATTTCTATTGCAGTTTGGGCAAGCCAGTGAATCTTGGTACTCCACAGTGGTAATCCTATATATCTTACATGCAAAATCCCGTTTTACTGAAATTCATATTTCAAACCTTTTGAATACTGGATCTCACATTGTACAACTGCTAATAAAAATATCAATGGGATCCATCTGGCCAGATGCAGTAGTGTTCGCGTCATCTGAGCAGAATTCAGACAAGCAGTTTTCGAGCCTTATTCTGCAAATTTTCTATTCCACAAACACCATACATAAAAATTAGAAGCAAACACAGAGTGGGGTACATGCTCGGAAATGTACAGTAAAGTGGACTGAAGCTGTAAGCCGTCAGTTTGAGAAACCAAAAAAAAAAATTCTATTTTTTGAATACAGCGGCGATGGGCTGGAAAAATTCGACTTTGTCGCGTAACCTAAAACCCGAAAAAATCCATGTATCGGCAGGCAGCACAAAAGTGCCTTTCGAAGCACAAGAACGAATGCGCCGCACCCGTTGAACTTCCCACCCGTAAAAGAATTTAGCACAAAAAGCAATCGGAAAAGGTGAAAGTTTTTAATACCTTTAATTCAGAATGTTGTTCGTGTTATGAAATGTTAAATCATTTTCCAGAAACAAAACTTTTAACATTAAGAAACTGCTCCTGTCTTTTGCGAAAGAACATTTTGTTTTAGAGGACCGTACGCGGGCAAAAAATTCATATTTCGCATAACTTTTTAACTTCGTCTGAAAAAAACAAAATCGTCCTTTTCTTGAAACCGTTTCGCTGGACTGAAGGAACGATAAGAAAAACTATCGCTTGGTTTCTTTGCTCTTCCACATTTGCAAGCTGTCCACAGGGATAATTAATAGCCAATCAACAATGTAAACAGTAATCAACGAAGTAATCTGAACTCTAAACTGCGTCACAACGAACCACATTCTCGTCCTGAAACAGCTGCCAGAGCACGTTGGGGGGGTAACAGCTTGTTCCTCTAACTTGTTGCTGATCATGAAAAAGCACCTGATAAGAGCGAACTGACTGCTGAACTTTTGAGGCCATGCGGAAATTTTCAAGGACTTAAATAGATATTCTCCGACAGGCAGCACTGTTTTTTTAATAAATATTCTCCGATAGGCAGCACTGTATTCCGACAAAGAAGGCGCAAGGCTTTTCGTCGCCTCTCTCAAGATGATGTTTCTCAGGCCAGACTGTAAAGGTAGTTTAAACAACATTGGCGGACAAAGTCAAATCGTTAACAGATAACGTGGTTTCCCCTGCGACTAGCAGAGATCCTGCGGGAATTCGACATGTGTAGAGGGACGAACTTGGGCGTCAACTTGTCGAAAACGAAAGTGATGCAAAGCGAAAGCAAGCCCACCGCCAGATACCGTCGACTTAGAAATGTTAACCATTACGTCTTCCTCAACCAGAAATTAAATATCGGAATGCTTATATATGCACGTGCTGCAGTCTCTGGAACACGCGAAAAGTACTCGCGATCTCCATCATCTGAGTAGTGAGCAGTATTCACCAGATCACAGATTCAGAATCGGTTAGGCACGAAATACAGCTCTGCTTGCCGAA